CCCATGCAAACTCTAAGTACTCATAGAAACTCTAAGTTCCCATACAAACTCTAAGTACTCATAGAAACTCTAAGTACCCATAGAAACTCGAAGAACTCATAGAAACTCGAAGTACCCATAGAAACTAGAAGTACACACACAAGAAAAAATTGTGAAAAATTTCGTAGAAACCACCGGACTGCTTTTTCCACCCCAAAATCGGACTGGACTGCTTTTTTCGCCAATCGAACTGGACTCCTTTTTCCATAAACCCCAAATATGGGCCTCCTGGTGGATGACCTTGGCACTGCAGCAGAACTTTTTTGGTGACAGATAGCTTATCCTGTCAGGAATAAGCGGTGTAAGTTTGGTCCCCTTAACAGCTTGTTCTGGAACTGCAGATTAGTTTCTGGTCAAAACTTGTGGTGATATTTGGTATGTTGGTAAGTCTTAGGGAGACGAAATTCATGGTCAAATATGGGCCTCCTGGTGGATGACCTTGGTACTGCAGCAGAACTTCCGGTTTTTGTATCTTTTGTCCCGAACATGCTATGGTCTTGTTGGTGACAGATAGCTTTTCCTGTCAGGAATAAGTGGTGTGAGTTTGGTCCCCCTAGCAGCTTGTTCTGGAACTGCAGGGCACTTTCTGGCGAAATGTTTAAAAGCCAATAAGTCCAGACAGGAACAACATATTTTCATTATTTTTGGTGTGTAGGTAGCTGAGAGAGAGATGTAATAATTAAATGCAAATTATGCAAATGAGGACTTTATTTGCATAATTAATGAGGAAATTCTATAATTACAGTGTTTTATATAATAGTACTGCTATACATGTAATCTATTTAATCTGTGGCAGGCGGAACATCAACAGATACCAATTATGCAAATAATGACCTTATTTGCATAATTAATATGAAAATTTTGTGAATGAAATTTATTGGTGAATGATGGGAATTTTGGTCTCGGACCGGAGTTTCCCTCCGTATTTCGAGCAATTTGACACCCTCAGCCCGACGGGCTGTCATTTCTGTACTAAACGCGGGTCGGAATTTTTCACTCTTTTGGTGGAAAGGGGTGCCGTGCCGCTTATCAATACACTTGAATAATATTTTCTGCGCCCAATTTATTTAGGGGTAAATGAGGCACATCAAAGTACATTTTGAAAAAAGGGGTCATTTTTTTCGTCATTTTTAACCATGGCTGCATGGAAAAAACGAATTTTCCCAGGGTAACGGCTTAGTACTCGAAGAAGCTCAGAACTAATGTTTCCAAAATTTGAATTTAATTAAAATCGATGCGATAAATTTATCGCTATCTTCGATGGCCCGAACACACCCACAACGCATATAGAACGTACCATCCCGGCGGTCAGGCGAAAAGGCCACATAACCATCCGCGCGGACTGATACCAGGAAGTCTTCGCTGGACCACCAACATTACGCCACCTATAAAGGCTACAACTAACAGGCTTTTCAGAAAATACAAAGATATGTACACAGATATTACGATTTCAGGGATATCGCGGCCAAAACATACCATACAAAGTCACGTTTCCGGCGATTTACTGCGCACTTACTTAGACTCTGGTCAGATTTAAACTCCGACCCGGAACCTTAAGCTATGGCAGGCGGAGCATCAACAGATACTAATTATGCAAATGATGACCTAATTTGCATAATTAATGCGAAAATTCTGTGATTTCTTCATGGTGAATGATGGGAATGTCATACTTGGGACATCTGTAAGTTAATCAAAAGTTAACATACATCACGATGTATATATTATGTTAATGCAGAGGTCATTTCCATAATTAAAGAAGAAATTTACATTTACATATCAAGCCCATATTTCATGGAGGTATGAGATCTCGGAATTCTTGTTATTTGTGTTTTTATTTTGTAGTGAGCTCAAAGGTATTTCAGGTTGGCAAAATAAGAAAAACATAAACTGGATGCCATTTCTTAGAAAATTTTTGTCATCGTTTCATACTTGCTTGAAGCGTTCGAAAAAGCCCAAAATAAGCGACGTGTGGAAGATTTTTGCTACCACCACTAAACAGCAAGAACCAGCGTATGATTCAAAACAAGCAACCATTTTTTGTCAGCGACATCGTATTTCATGGTGATAAAATCCGGGCCCCAATATCCCCACCTGCTTTAGAACCCGAATCTAATTCGATCTTGTTCGCATCGAACGGCGTTCGATCTGGGGTCACTGCGGTCATTTACAGTAAAACCGGGTTTTCAGGCCCTTTTTACGCGAGTACTTCATAACAAATACAAAACGTTTCCTGGACAGTATACGTACGCTTATCATTTTGTTGTGGACATCAAACAAGTAGCGAAGCTACTGTCGTATTCTTGTGTGACCTTGAATATTGTAATGATTCTTCACGCTAATCTGAATGTCACACTCCCCACTTTCGGGCAAGATGACATGTCTGCAAAACTCGTTTAAACCAGAAAGCACGATGAGTCCAACATACCTCATTGACGGCTCAAAATAACTGTAATAGTTTTCCCGACAATCCTGTTGTAGGGATTTTTTAAAAATGCACTTGATTTTGAACAATGGGTAATTTAGTGCGAAAAAATTAAAAAAGTCATTTTTTTCACCTATATGTCGACAAAAACTATACTTAAAGTCGGAAATTAAAAAATCCCTAAAACACGATTTTTGATCTTAGTCCTAGTCGTCGAAAAATATAGAAATTGGGGATTTGGGGTAATATACGTAGCCAGGTTTAAACGATGTTTGCCTAAAAACATGGCATGACTTGTGGTCGGAAACCCGAAAATGACCTGGCCGTGAGCGGTTGCAATTGCGTGCATCGTACGTTGCGCAAGTGGTGAGTTGTACGTGCTTACAACGTACGATCTCTGTGCGATTGCAACTTTACCGTAAGGAGGCCGTACTCACACGCATATGGCTTCTTCCGCACGGTACGTACGGGGCACGCGCGTCGCTCGTACTCACACGTACGGGTGGTGAATCCGCAAACCGCAAGTAGAAAAAGTTTAACATGCACTTAAAGTTCTACGGCGTGTCTGCGTGCTCCCAAATCCGTAGGATTTCGTACGGAGGTGGTACTCACCACGCACGGATGCCCTACGTTTGCCCACATTTTTGCACGTACGGCGAGATGTGACCGTGGCTTAACCCTATCTAGACGGGCTTTTTTGGGCTTGGTGGGA